CTCTCGCCTCGAATCTCAGTGTCCTTCTCGGGAAGCTTAGGTGGTTTCCCGAAAAAAGCAGTCTGCACTGAAATTCCAGAAATCCTGGTAAACTAGCCATGCAAGTTTGTGTTCCCTCCTCTCTGGAGTCACTCTGTTCCACTAGCAGTTAGAGGAGACGTTCTGGAAGACGAGGAGTTGGGGTTTATTTTAATCCCAGACTCCCTGGGTGAGACCCCGCAGAGCCTGGCACAGCTCCTTAGGAGAGCAGGCCTCCTTAAATGCATCTTGCTGGAGAAGGTGATTCCTCATTCGCACGCCTGTAACCCCTCACGTCGTTTTGCAAACTGGTGCCGATGATAACAAAACCAGTTAAGTGACAGCAGATTCATTGCTACCCCTGAGAAACCCCTGTGCTGTGGCCGTTCATCTCGGCTTGCTTGACCTTGTTGGTTAAGTCAGAGAAATGGATCAGAGAAGAGGGAAATTGGAGCCAAGAGCAAGAAGGACTCACAGCTGGTGAGATTACTTGGCTTTAAAAAAGAAAGAAAAAGCCGCATCCAGAAAACAGAAAGGAAATTGGCAGAGCAGAGCAATGATGTTGATGAGACGAGAGGAAATGTTATGTCCTCCGTCTCACTGGGCGGCAGGGTGTCTGTGAAGTCACAGCGATGTCCCAGCTTTGCGGGGGATGTTTGGCTGTGTCATCGCTCCATTCTGTCAGCTGTGAATTGGATCTGCTCCTCCCGCTGGTCCGCCCCCTGGACCAGGTCCCTCTGTCCGTCTGAGGAGGTGTTGGCTGGTTAGCAGAAGTCCTGTGTCACCATCTGTTGCAGGCGACCAGAGCACATCTCGGCATGTTAGCTAGGGAATGAGGTTTTATTTATTTAAAAAAATTTTAATGGAGGTACTGGGAATTGAACCCAGGACCTAGTGCATGCTAAGCATGCGCACTACCACTGAGCTTCGCACCAAGTGCGCATTTTAAAAATCGTGAGTACCGGGGGATGACTTCCGTTCTAACCCAGTATCACAGGGTTCATTCTCGTTTTTTCTTTTCTGTGCTTGTAACTCCCTTCTGTGACAGAAAGAAGCCTGACTGTCAGTTTTTCTAGTATGTTTACGTATTTGATCAGTTCCTCTGTGTGTAACCCATCTCTGCCTTCTCCCACGTGGATGTCCTCCTCGGCTCTGAGAGCCCGTGTCAGTCCGCCACCGCTAGTGCTGGGTGGATTCCCCCACCCCCCAAGCAGGCTCTGGTGCCCCATGCGGGCCCCGCACCCCCACAGGGATGCCCACCTTGTTGTGCCCAGGCTCCGACATGCCGTGCCCATCTGGCCCCTACGTGGATCCCCCCGCCACTCATACCTTTGCAGATGCCTGAGTTGCCCCATCCCACCTAAGAGCTCAGGGCTCAGTTCAGGATGGGAAGCAAAAGGGCCAAGATAGGTCTCTTGGTTCTGTCTCCCATTCACCAGTGTTTTACTTTTTTCAGTCTTCTCCCAGCAGAGGATGATACTGTCGGCTCATTTGCTGCTGCCCAAGATTGAAATGCCTTTGAGTGTTTGCCTTCCCTCCCCCAGTTCATGGCTACTCCCAGCTCAGTCATGAGCAACTCCTCTTGATTCAGAGTCTTTCCTGCATCTTTTCATCTCCCCCCATCGTCACTGCACCTGCCAGTCTCCTCCCTGGGGTCCTCCCTCCACTGTCTCACCTCGACAGTCCATCCTCAGAGAGCAGCCAGGACCATGTTTTGAAATTGCGAGGCATGATGTCATTTGGAACCTTGCAGCGGCTTCCGCTGTGCTTAGGGTAAAACCCCAGGTCCTTCCAGGTCCAAGATACCTATATATTGGGTTGATGTTAGTATTGCCGGGGGAACTTTTTAGAAGCCCCTAAGCCTGGGTCCAGTTAAATCAGGATATTTGGGGATGTGGCCCAGACATCAGTGTTTTGTATCCGCTAGGCGGCCAGGGCTGAGAATCATGCCTCCCTCTGGCCACCTTCTTCCTGCTGTCTCCCTTTCATGACTGGTTCCATTTATCTTCTCAGAGCGGCGGTTCCTTGGTTACGTTATCTAAGGTAATGTCCCAGGTTACTAACTGTTTTCTGCCAGGTACCACTCCCCTGGAGTGCGTCTTCCTTGCACCGTCATTGTCTGAGATCATCATAGATACATTCCACATTAGACTGTAGTCTTCACGGTCACTCTTGCTTCCCAGTGCTCCGGGTATCTAAACTCATGCTTAATAAACATTTGTTGAATGGTTGCCTGTAGAAGGGGCCAAGCGCCAAGTAAGGGACCTGTCCGACGGGAGCTGGAAAGTGTGCAGTCGCCACAGATGCGTTTGGACCAGTGAGGGGAAATGGAGCTGGTGATAGAGTCTTGGCTGATGGAGATGATCTGAGAAACCAGATAAAAGCCATCATCTTTGACCATGGAATTACGAACTCTCTGATATTTTTAAGCTGGAGGGGACAGATTTGTGTTCTGAATTGGGGCAGTCCCAGGAAAACAGAAATGGCTCGTTTCCCCAGTGGAAGAGCAGCCTTTAGCACAGAGTCACTTGATGCTCCCTGTGGCTGCTGGAGACTTACTTCAGAGAGTGGGGCTTTCCCCTGCAGGTAGGTGAGGCTACTCCTTTGGAATCACCAGCCCCCACTGTCCCCTTCATTTTAACAATGTGCTCACTTAAGAAAGCATCTGAGGGACACTATGAACTCACCTACAAAACAGAAACAGACTCGCGGACATAGGAACCAATCTTACGGTTAGCGGGGAAAGGGGATGGGAAGGGGTAAATTTGGGAGATTTACAAACACTATATATAAAAATAGATTTTTAAAAAGTTTCTGCTGTGTAGTGCAGGGAACTATGTTCCATATCTTGAAATAACCTTTAATAAAAAAGTATGAAAACAAATATATGTATGTATACACATGACTGGGACATTGTACTGTACACCAGAAATTGACCCAGTGTGACTGATGATACTTCAATAAAAAAAGAAAAGAAAAGAAAGCATCTGAGATTCTGACCCGTTCACATTCCAGTGATTATAACTGCCTGTTTATATGCATGAGGAAGCCAACAGCATGCCACATTTACCTGTAATTAGCTTGCTTTAAATATTGGAGTTAATTGGAAAACTATGATCTTGCTTGTGTCATAACCCCAGTTTGTAATGTGGAAATGAGCAAATGTACTCTTGGACTACGACCATATCCCTCGCATTGGTTAGCAACTGAATTTGCGGAGTCCTAACCCTACGTAATTACAACTCTAGAAGTGGTATTCTGCTGCCTAACGCCAAGGAACGCGAGCGCTCACTTTTGTGAAATTCCGCGTGGTCATCTTGAGCCTTTAGATCAGAGTTATTATGCACAGACCCCAGTTCTGGAGAAGATGGAGGAGGTTAAAAAAAAAAAGATAGTATTCAAAAATGACAGGTTTAGGGAGCCAAATTCTGTGATGAATGGTGGTGCAAAAACCCTGTTTGCACAAGGACAGATAAATTCCCCTCTGAAAGTGGGGCAAGTCTGGGTTGTAACATCTTGGCTTTATAGGACAGAGAGAGATGAGAACTGCTTGGAAGAGAGTAAGGTATTGTTTCTCAGATGGCCTCCCCCTCCCCATCCTGGGATGAAGTGGAAGCCATTTAGTCATGCAAAAGCCATTTTGACATGTCAGCAGACCCAGGCAAGTGCGAATCGATGGTCAGGACTCTTGAGATTTGAGAGAAATGTTTGGCGTGGTTTCAGCTGGATCTCTTGTGCATTTTAGCATCCTAAATCAGGAGCAGTGTTTCCTATTCAGATATCTTTTCCTCAACCGTGAGCCTTGATGCAAACCTGTAACTGATTCACAGCATAATACCTCATTCTTCCCCGAAAAAAAAAAAAAGCAAAATCCTTAAAAAATTGTTGACTACCGACAGTTTAAAATTTGTGAAAATATTAATAAATCTGTGCTCAAAGAAGGTAAATTAAACTTTCTACTTGTAACACATTCAAAATAGATTGTGTGTCCAGTTCGGGATGGTTTTCATAGAACAGATTACAGGGGAGTTCTAGAATGCTGTTAGCAGGTGCCTGCAGTTTTAATTACAGCTTCCGTCTGCTCACTGTGTGTGTGTGGTTGCTTCGCACACGTGGACCGCTCCCAACAGGGTACACTTGGGCATGATGGCCACACTGATGCCTCAGGGGTGTGAGGAATGAGGAAAATTATTACAGTGAGTTACGTATGGTGGCTATTCAGTAAATGTTTGGTATAAAATACCTGTTTATGGGCAAATTAAATCGTGTACTCCTCTATAAGATAGGGGGTGGGGGACAGACATAGCTCTGTGTGTCTTTATTGTAATTGTAAAGAAGTTAAAGTCTTTAGTGAAAGCCGCATTGTGCAATGTGGGAGGCGTGTATAGTATTGCCAAGAATTGTTTACAATGTTTTATTGTTTGTTTCAGTTTCTTTTTAGGTAATATATATATTATTTTTATATAAGATTTGCTACTGCAATTAAAATTGTTCCAGAATATTGATTCTTAACCTGAAATCGTGGAAGGGAGGGAAGTAAGGGTGGGGAGGAATGTGAGAAAGAATATATATAAATTATTTTAAAATACCTATTTGAATAGTATAAGGGGTAACTTGCCAAATGTATATAAACGGGTGAAAGTTCATATTCATTCAGGCAAAAATACTTATGGAATGACTGTAAGGTGTAAGGTGTCAAGAGGTTGCCTCCTGTCTTGTCTTTTCGCTCTGTCCTTTCCTGAAGGAGTAGAGGTGAGGTGTGGTTCTAAGTGAATTTTAAATCTTTTAGTTATGCAGTGATTAAAGTTCTGAAATAGATCTAGATTTTTATTGTGTAGTAAAGCAGAATGCTCCTATTGTCTGCTAATTGTGTCCTGGATTCCATCCCAGGATTCTAACACAACTTGTGGGTGTGTGATGCGAATGTCTTTATGTGCTCACAGATAACGTGAAGGATTTTGTGTTCTCTTCTGTCCCGACAGGTTGGTACAGAGGATATACCCTCCAGAATAAGTCTAAAAAGGTATGGCGTATCGCGCAGTTTTTTAGTTTGAAATCTGCCTGCTAGCTTTGTGCTGTGCTATCTGACCCCATTCTCTGCTGTCTGCTATCCCCAGACCTCGTTTGCGTTCTCTTTGACTGGCTGTGCTTTAGATTTGAAAGCAAATCCTCTGATCTCACCGTTAGGTAAGGTAGTGCAACTCCCACCGGCCGCGTTTCCCACCAGGCAACTCGAGGATAAAGGCCAGAGGTGAACTGGACACACCGGGTGAGGCCTTTCGGGCTTCCTGCCCCCCGGGCCCTCAGGCTGAGCGGAGCGGGGATTCCGGGATGCGGCTGGAGTTGGCAGTCTGTTCCAGGGAAGGATGCTGGCTTCTCCCAGTGCTGAAATCCCCAAACTCGAGGGTCTCCCGTGAGCACTTGACTCTTTCTTTCATTGTAAAGTGGATAAACCGGAGCAGTGGTTTTTAAACTGTGAAACTCACATGAAATCAATACCGTGGGTTATAGCCAGCATTTTCTCGAAAACAAAACTGAAAAATAGAAAAGAAAATGGAATGCCATGCTCAGTACTGTTTTGTGAAACTTTTGTTTTAGGTATATATTTTACCGTATTTTGTGTATTTTGAATTCTCTTTTGTGGCAGTAGTCCTGGGTGGCGGTCTCATGGTGACTAAAGAGTTTGAAAAATACTGACCTTCAATGGGTTCCTTTTCCCAGTGCCAAAGCCGCGAACGATCACGCTAAAGAAAATCTGTGGGTTATGTTAATACCCCTTCAGTTGGTTTTAGGTCAGGTCAGCGCTTTTCCTGTGATGCAGCTGGCTGGGGCCCGCACAGTGCATCAGCCATTCCTTTTGAAAGGACCAAGTTGGTAGGGCCGTCCTGGTTCACAGTTAGGTCACATGCAAAATAGTGAATTAGGAGGGCTGAGCGAAGACATGCCGGAATTTGTCAAGAGCTGAGTTAAAAACAAAAAAACACCCCCAGTTTTTATTCTTCACATATTGCACAGGACAGAAGGGACCCTAGGACAGGAAAACACCTTTCTGTAAGCTGTAGGCCACTGAAAGCCAGGACTGCCCTAGTCAAGCTTTCTAGGTTGCTGACTCTCAGACCACACTCAACATTTGCGCATGTATGTGTATACGCACACACTTTATTAACTCTGACAGTTTAATAATCTACCACGATAAAGGAGTGTTTGCTTTTCATGCGAGAATCAACTCCCACAATTTGGGCCCTTTTATCCCTCCCCACGTCCTGTTGCTGAATTTTTCGACCCACAGTTAGATTCTTGTGTCTTCATTTGCAGCTGAATTCTAGTGAAAATAATTATACATTATGTGATTACATGAATAATCGCTTGTGGACTTTAGTTTCTCCAGGCCTTCATGTAAGGACCTAAGACGACAGATGTTCTGACATGAATGAGAACGTGATAGGGCTAAAGCCAAGACCTTTCCTTCTGAGATGCTGCTGCCTTTTTTTTTTCTTTTTTTAAAATTGAAGTATAGTCGATTACAATGTGTCAGTTTCTGGTACTTCTTAACAGGAATACCCGTTTATGACCTCTCCTGCTTCTTGGTTGGGGTTTAACCCCATCGATGTTTATTTTACTTAAAATTATGAAAGTGGGAGTCATTTTTCAAAGCATGATTGGCGTTAACAATTTTGAAGTTCTACATTTATTACGGAGCAACAATACTTAGGTCACTTAATTACCAATCCTTTAAAAAAATTTTTTTAAAACATAAAACTCCACTCTCAGATAAGATCACGTGAATTTAAAGAGCACACAGAAGTTTTTACTTTTTATTACGATTATTGTTTATTATGATTATGATTTAGTGGAAGTACTAGGGGTTGAACCCCAGACCTCATGCATGCTAAGCATTTGCTCTACCGCTGAGCTATTCCCATCCCCTTCAGAATTTTTTATTTTTAACTACTGAGTGTGAATTGCATTGAAACAAGGCCCCAGACCACAGTTTTCCCTTGCAGAGAGTCTGTGGTTTGTAAGGCTCTTTTCTCAAGCATCTTTAAGGCATCCTGGGATGTCCTAAAACATCAGAATTTCATCTGTTGTCTGCTTTGGAAAGTGGGTGGATGGAGTGATTTGCTAGGGTCTGCATGACAGGGTCTCCTTTTTTTTCCTTTTTTTTTTTTTTTGTATTTATTTTCTTACAGTCCTCACTTAAACTTTAAACCTCACCCTTGAGAAGAATTACTTCAGTAAGAGCTTTTCTTAGTTCTTGAAGATTAAACTTTGTGATTCAATGAACTAATAGGACAAACAGGGGCTCTGCATTTACTTCTTGATTTTTACGTTGAAATATCTCTTCCTGGTGGAAAGATCTAGGAAAAAACGGGAAGTCAGTGAGAGCTCAGCTTTGACACCCCTTCATTAAGAGATCTAGCCTGTTTGGAATGCTCTCCTAATGGGGTTTCCTTGTTTACCAGGCTTTAGGGGAATAGCTATTTGAAAGGCCTATTGTTTTAATGGAGATTTTTGGTGTCATTTACAAGCAGACCTAGCCATTTAGACTGGTGATGAAATGAGCTAGTGGTTTTACAAATTGAAGAAGCCAAGAGCTTTGCAGAAACCGATTATTGATCTTGGTAGGATTGTGGCAGTATGGATAAGGACAATAGCTAGAAAGTCATTCATTCTTTTTTTTTCTTTCTTTCCCCCCACTCAAATGAGTAGCCTGCATTGAGAAAGCGAAAGCAAAATTGTGAGAGAGGCTGTAAATCAGAAATGTATTGCCTGGGTTTATTCTGGCTTTCTGTGCCTACAGCCTTGGATTTATCGGAGCAATTAAAATGGCTGTAAGTGGACATGTGCTGTCATGGAAAGATGATGCCTATAGAGTGGTAACAGTGGAAATGCAACCAAATAAATACTCTCTTTAAAAAATTTTATTTATTTATTTGACTTGCAAGCAAATAATTTTTTTTAATTGAAGTAGTAAGTTACATTGTGTCAATTTCTGGTGTACAGCACAATGTGTCAGTTATGCATCAAATAAATACTCTCTTAATATGAAAATCATTGTGTCTATATTACCCAGTAGAAATGATCTGCTTATGATCTGCTGAGACATTCACAATGTAAGCCATTTATGTTGTGAATGTTTCTGTTTTGGAATTTCCCTGTTATTAGGAGGAGACCAGTCTTCACATGATAGATGCATGAAAAAATTCATCAGTCCTTTATCTTCTTGATTTAAAACATCTACAAGGATATTTCTTTGAACCTGCAAATATGGCTCCTTATAACTGCTATTTCAAGTGGTTCGTTCTTACCCAACACTCCACCTTTTTATGAGTTCTGGACAATTTTTTTTTATTGTAGTAAAATATACTTAACAAAAAGGTCACTATTTTAAATGTTTTAAGACGTACAGTTCAGAGGTATTACGAACATTCACAGTTGTGCAGCTGTCACCGCTGTTCATTTCTAGAACGTTTTCTTTATCGCAAACTGAAACTCTACGTGTTAAACACCAACTCCCCATTCCTCCCTCACCCCAGCCCCTGGAGCCCCCATCCTACTTCTGTCTCTATGAATCTGACTGCATGAGGTCCTTCATACAAGTGAGGTCAGACAGTATTTGTCCTTCTGTGTCTGGCTTGTTTCACTTAGCCTCCTGTCCTCAAGGTGAGTGCTGGACAGCTGTCGGGTTCTCCCTAAAGATGGTCATCAACCAAACATTGGCCTCAGCTTAGCAAACAGAAGGAACACCCGAATTTCCTGAGGCATCTTCAGGACCAACCTGGAGCTTCAGACCCCCAGAAGTCAGACCCCAAAGAAATGATATGCACATTGAATTTTGGGTTGAATTTAACTATTAGATTGGTTTTCCAAAATCATTCTGAATCCTGTCCTTGTCTTAAAAGAGGTCAGTGTTACTTCGTCTCTGCGTGTGCCCTGGGATTTACCAGTGACAGGACTGGGGTAGCACTTTCTTGCTCGTATGCCCCACGCCTGCCCCTTTCTCAGAGCAAGGAGGGGCAGGTACGTCTGTACTTGTGTTTTGGTTCTTCTTGCCTGGCTGGAAAGGAAGGCCGTTTTGCTTGTGACTCCAGTGGTGGCAGGATCCTCCCTGTCATCACCAGTGCTGGGAGCAGCTTAATCTCCAGTTTTCTTGCTGTTTCCTGTTTTATTGGCAAAGGATTAGAAGGGAGCATGGAGAGAATTGTGCGTGCTCAGATAAACATAGCACATGGAACGAGATGCAAGAGCAACCCTGGTTGAAATGCACTAGGTTTCTGGCTCTGAATGGCTTAAGGATTGCTGGGTGCACACGCATCTTTGACCCAGTCCCCCGGGGGCGGAATGTCCCTCTCCCACCTTTGGGGTCAGCCTGCCGTGGCACGGAGCGTCTGCACGGTCATGGTCGCACCTTTACAGGTGCCAGGCTACGAGCCGCTGAGCCCGTGGTGCCTGTTAAACAGCATCCTCCCCTGCCTCTCCTGGTCTGGCAGGCAAAGGACCACAAACCGGGGAACAGCGGTGCCTTTTCCAGATGGCGCGTTCTCTGTTTATTGATGAGCATATCACACGGTTGAACAACAGGAGCTTTTGGCTTTTAAGAAAACTCACGCCCATGGCTTGCTTCCTGTTCGTTAGCGCCAATCTCCAGTCCTGCAGTTTCTACTGACCAGTCTCCAGTGTTTCTCCTACATCTTTCTCAGCGCTAGTTTTCCCAAAGGCGATGTCACCATACCATACGAGGTCGGGTTGCCTGTTAGGGATGTAGAATGGAGAGCAATTTGAGACTGGGAAGTGCTAAAAATAACCAGATAACTAGTCCTAATTGCTTTGGGTGCATTTTGTTTAAGTGAAGTGCTGAGAGGCATTAGTCTAGAAAAATCACTGTAATTCTACGGGCCACTCAGTACATGGCCCTTGATCTCACTAATTACACCAAGCCCTTTAAGGGAAGCATCTCTCAGCGGATGGGATCTGGACGGGTTTTAGGATCATCTCACTGTTCAGCTCCTCACCGTGATCGCAGGTCTGAGCTGACCCGGGTGTGTTTGCCTGGTCGTCTCTGAAGTGTTTATCTCACGCACCCTGAACCCTGTCCTAACGCCTGCCTTTCCGGGGCGTCAGCCCTGCCTTGGTTTGGGTAGCCAGGCCATGTCACTAGTGACGTCCTTCCAGCCTGACTGCCAGCTGCGGCCATTGTGCTGGTGGCCTGCCCCCTCCTCCGCTCATTCTTGCTGCTGCTTCTGCTCTTGACTTTGGGCTGAGTTTTTTTTTTTTTAAATGGCCGTGTAACCCAAGTTATTCTCTCTGCAGGGGATTTTCCCTGAAACGTACATCCATCTGAAAGAGGCGACTGTGGAGGACCGCGGGTAAGTTCTAGGGGAGGAAGACCCCTAACGGGTGAGGAAGATGTGAAACAGCATTAAAGACTTTATGAGGTCTTGAAATAGCGCCCCTGCGTTAGTTGTTTCCTCTCATTGGTTCCACATCTCAGGTGAGAGAGGAAGGAATAAACACCTTTTCGTGACGTAATTCCTTCTTCTGTCTGCTCATTTTATGCTTGTTCCTCCCTGGCATCCTTTCCCAGAGCAGTCAAGACGGAGGATGAATGAACAGGGAGGGGCCTTTATCTTCCTCTTGCACTAGGTGCTCAGCGATCGCGTGCACGCGCTTGTGTGTGCATGCATGTGCGTGCACACGCACGACCATTTGATGCTCTTTTGCTGTTAAGACCTGAGAGCCCCCTGTTTGGAAACGTTAGGCGACAGGTGAGCAGGCTGCCCACTGTGCTGTTCAGCTCTGAACCTTGGACGAGGCGCTTGGCCTCAGTGCCCCTGGGGCTTTCCCCCTGCACAGGGAAAACAGATCTGGCCCTATGTTGGTCATGAGTTCGATGTGAAATTACCACATAATGCGTGTGAACGTGCTCTGCGGATAAAACCCATGAAGTTCTGGGTATCCTTGTTTCTTATTCACCCTCCCATTTGTCCTGGGAACTGCTGTCTCTGTGATGGCTCAGAAGAGTGAGGCACTTGGCTGGAAGTGGGGCGAGGCCACTCGACAGGTGAGAAGGCAGGCAGGAGAGTTAAGGAGGGAGTAATGAGAGCCTGGAGCAGCCCCGGAATCCCAGGGCTGTTAGTGGGTAGAGCGCCTCACAGCTGCGGAGAACATTCTCAGCCAGAAGTTGCACACTTGCGTTTTATCAGATGAGAGTTGGAGATG